ATTAGATCTTAATATGAAGAAGTTTCCCTAAACTTTCTTCTTCCTCTTCGCTGCATGACTCTGAACTGGACAAGCCTAGTAGTTGTTATAGCTTTATGTTCTCACTACCTTTTTTTTGGTAATCCAACAATCATAACATGCTTTAAAGTAAAGCCTTAGTAGGAAGTTTTGAACTTATGACCTGTGAATCAGGTACAAAGATCATGATGGAAATTGTTCAACAAGGAAAATCAAAATAAAATAGCTTATGTGTCTTTGGAAACATAAATACCTACTGCAAAGTTAAAAGAGATATTGGGTGTCCCTGCCACACTGCCCTCTCTGTCCACATCTAGTTCCCTGAGGGTTTTTTCACCCCCACAGATACATGCCAGGAATTTCTCTTTTTTTCACTGAAGTGGCCCCATCACTATGATGGTGTCATCTGGCATCCAGATACTATTGTTTGCCCTCTACCTTGTCCTCCCCCACCTTCTTTTTTTTTATGGCCAGCACAAGGGTTATTTATGGCAGTATGTTAAAAGCTGGATATAGTGTTAATATACAAAAGCATTTTTCAAGTGTTAGAGGCAGAAATCTTTAAAGAAACCCTCTACCACTGATCCAAGGCCTGCTGAATGGTCACTTCAGAGACAGATAGCAACAGGAGGAAAACATGTACATCAACACAGGACAGCAAGGCCTTCTCACCTTAAACCTTTGTCATGACATGGATTACAACACTTTCTCACCAAGATAGAGTATTTCATAGTAATTCTGTCAGCAATTAATATTTAATTGATCCCATCTAGGAGTGCAGTAGGTCAGACAACACAAACATAACTATTCCCTCTAGTCTTCAAGTGGCTGAACTGGTTGTGATTAATTCTCTGAGCAGTAGAACCAATGAAGAACTACTTAACATAGATTTATATTTGAAGTGCCCAAATGGATTCTCTGCTATGTGTTAAGGACTGAAACTCCTTTAAAAACCTTTCTTTCAGCTGTGGAATTGTAGGGTGTCAGTCTTCTACTCAGTCATTTAGTTCAGTGACACGTGGAAAATAGTTTGACCGAATTTCCTGGAGAGTATCAACCAAGTTTGACTAAGGAGTAAAATTCTCTGTGGTAACTTTATACTTCTGTCAAAATCAGTTAACAGGAATAAATTCAGATATTACCGAGAGAAGAGGAAGGCAACTGACAGATAGACATATACAGACAAAATTCAACTGTAAAACTTGCTTGATTTAGAAATTCCTGAAGATATAAATAATGGAAGGCACTACGCACAGATGGAATAAAACTGAGACATCTGGTGCTTTAGCAGCACACATCAGAGAATTATCACAAATTACAGGTGAAGTGATAGTATAAAAGAAATACTGTAGCTTTATAAATCACGGCATATTTCATAACAAAAATCATATTCAATAGAAAGTCAAAAAAGTCAGAAGATAGTAATACAGAGATTCACAAATATAAGGACTTAATGCATAGAAGAAATATGTTGAAAAGTTTCAGTTTTAGCTCTTAAACTTCTAATTAAATATAAACGTTAAGCAGGACAATAGAGTTGTTTTTTGATGAGGTTTATTTTCTCTGCCTGAGGAATGATAAGGAAGAAAGGGTCACAGTAGCAGGAGAAGAGTGGTCTACTGGCTACAAATAATGATCCTGTCTGTAGATGAGAATGGGGGCAGTCAGCGACCTGGTGGCATAAGAAAGCTTTGGAACAGCCTCAGATAAAGTGTGGGAAAAGAATGAATCCTGGCTGATGTCTGCTTAAGTGGGGTCACAAAATTAGTTATTATTGCACCAATGCAGAGTGAACAGGAAAATTACATAAGCGTAGCTTCTCTGAAGAAACTTCCATTATTGCAACTTCAAGTAAACACACTAATGAACACAATTCTGCCTCTTCAGCACCTGGCTTACCATACCACCAGAGGCCATCTGCTGTTCCCTCTCCCCCACAGCTTTACCCATACCCTCCATGCTGCCCCTCCTCTACCCATCGTTCCCTCTCTGCTGAGTGAAAGAGTATGGGCTCATTCTGGCTGCCCAGCTCGACTCCTTCCTCAAACACTGCTCAGTCAGCTCTGCTAGACCGGATCAGAGGAAAGAAATGGCTTTCTTAGAGGAGGGGAAACCAATAACGAAAATTCTTTTCTATAACCCCAGTATATTTTCTGAAATATTTACAGCAAACACACTGCAACATGCTCAAGTGTAAGACAATAAGAAGTTGAGAGTCGCATTTTTCTTAGTCAAATCTACAGTCAACAAAATAGCTGGCCCCATCACACAGTCTTACACTAGGTAGTGCTTGATCCAACATTAAAAAACTCTTAGCTGTTCCAACCCTCAAACTACCATATACCTACATCATGGACCGATCATTTATCGGCCAAAATATGTGGGTGGTAGTCTGACATCTGTCAGATTGGTAGGCCATGGAGTATTATAGTTTGTCTCTGCGTAGCTGCAGGAGCACAGACCAAAAGGTACACTATCATGGAATTTACCTTGTTCTTCACCTACATAGCTAAAAATCCCTACACAGCTAAATGAGAAGTGATGCCATAAAGCTGGCACTGAAGTTGATATTTGCTTGTATCTTGGTGCATTCTGAATGTTTTGTCTCCTTTTTAATATTGTTACATACAGTTTTTCAATCTAATGACCAGGATCTAAAATGAATAACTGTTTAAAGTTAGACATTAATGAAAAAAAACTATTAATACTGAGGCATTGAAACCAATTTTAAGTGGAAGTTCACTGGTGAAGATTGCTGAAACAGATTAGATATTCTAGCTGTTACAGTATAGATATTCTGGCTGTTACAGTATACAGGTGGGGATTGCATGGATGGTTCTTTCAGCTTAAATTTTCAAAGGTTTTATTTGGTTTTCTCTCATGCCTTATCACTAAAAACCATTCCAAACTAAACTCAAGGCATCTCTGAGCTTTGGGAAAGTTTGTGTAAAGACCCTGACTTTGTGCCCTTTTTCGTGTTAGTCAACACATATAAAAATCTGTACTTGAATTTCATTTATGTCAAGAAGATTTCTCATTAGCCTAAAATAAAGATTAGAAATGCTCCTAGAGTTGTGCCTTGCAGGGAGAAAACAAATATACAAAATGTCACCCTATGGCAGACTGAATCGAGTCTGGATTGTGCCCCACTGCATGGATATGTTGATGTTCCACTGGTACCACTGAAGTCTTGCATTAGATGGGGTAAAAAAGATAGTGTTTTTATGGGACTGGGCATGTACTGCAGCAGAGCAGTGACCTATAAAATCAGGAGGTGTCACAGCTGCTCTTGAAAACAATTTTAAGTTCTTAAACACCTTTATCTTTAGATCTCCCAAGGTCTGTTTTAATATCACAAGTAATATACCCATAAAGTTTTCCAGAATACTTTATTAAAATACATATTTTGATAAACAAAAGCCTCTTCATTTTTCCCTGCAGATTATACCTATTTTCTACAAATACCTACTTGTTAATATTTAAAGCTACATATACTCAAATATATATACGTAGTTACAACTACACTCTTTTTCTACAGTGCAATCAACCTTGTTCACAAAATCTATAAAAAAATTTCTTAGTGTAACAAATTATTCCAGATACGACCACATAACAGCCCATCAGTATGAATTCTAATTCATGTATGTTTTAAAGGTTTATTTACAGTTTGGTAAACGTACATTTAGCTAAGTGATTTAGAATAGTCACAAGAAAATCTCAAGAAAATAAACTGCACTTTACAAATTAAAAATTAGCATATTCACAAATACCAAAGTTTCTAGGCTTTGACTCTAAATGAATCAACATATAACATCTATGGAACTCTGGAAAGAGTTAAACATCTCATTATACTATATGTGATAGCTGTTACTAATATATATATATATAAAGACATATTAATGTGTATATTTGTATGTGTATATGTGTGTATAAATCTATGTAGATACATATATTTGTCTATATGCATGTATGCATGTATACATATAGCAGCTGGATAATTTTTCTTTTATTTTGAGGGACTTATTATGTATGTCTCTAGCTCTCTTTCAGTGTTCCAGTTTCAAATTACTTAAACGCAGATTAACCATGCCAAAACTGCATAACAGTTATATATACCACTGTTATATATATATACATATATATATAACTGTTATATTGCATAAAACCCAATGTTTTTTAGTCTAATACACAGCTGCAACTGCAATAAAAAATGCCATGTGCTCAGACATGAGGAACTGGATATTTATTAAAGCTGTGAACACAGTTTCAGAAAAAAAAATTCCAAAACATAATCATCAGAGTATGTTTTTAATTTCTGAGCCTCATTGCTAGAGGTTTGTGTGGTACACACCACAGGTTTCTAGTTTATTTTCTGCTAAAATTAATTCTTTTCTTTTTTTTTCCTGTTACCACGCCTTTCTCCGGGGGAAGAGGCAAGAGGTAATTATCATTAGCTGCTTTGTTTCACCTCTAACTTCATGGGGTGATTGAGAAAATACAGAAAGGTGCTGAGTTGTGAAGACACAGCGGTAATGGATAACACACAACTACTTAGGTAGATAGGCTCTTATTATAATATTCTTGTAAATGACCTTAAATAAAACACGTATATATTTGCTTAAATTGAATCTGCATTCACCTCTTGACATCTGTCTCTTCACACCTAAGTGTGATACAGCCTTAATACCAATGAGTTCCACAGGGTTGGGTTTGGCCTTTACACTCTAAGAGACTGTGTTAGTTCTGCACAAGCCCCAGACTTCCACAGAGATTCATCACAGAATGTTTTGGGTTGAAAGGGACCTTAGAGAGCCTCTAGTTTAAACCCCCTGCCATGGTTTCACCATGCCACCTACCCCTAGACCAGGTTTCTATAAGCCCTATCCAACTTGGCCTGCCTGAACACCTTCAGAGAGGGAGCATTCACAATTTCTTGGGATCACATAATGAGAATCTGCTGTAAGCAAATTTTTAAGACTTACGATGGTTCTTCAGATACAGCTGTTCCTTCCTCCAGCTCTTGAGCCTGCTTATACCATGGCAACTTTGCTTCCACAGGAAGTTTCTCTATGAAGCAAGCACAAGCACATGAAAATAGGAAGCATGCAGTAACACTATTATGTGTGACAGCCTCCCTGCTCTCATCAACCTTGCATATGATGCGCGTGTGACTTCACACACATGGAGGCTGAGTACAAAGAAGAAAGAGAGAAATGAGAGCAGAAGAAAGAAACTCTTCCACTACCTGGACTATAATGCTTACAAGACTATATGGCCAGATATTTCAGTGTTACAGGAAGAAGGGCTATGGTGACCTAAAGCCAGAAAGGCAAATGAAGTCACCTTTCAGACCTTACAACTGGACTGTATAAGTAGGCACTTTGGAAAGTACTTTTTGGAGGGAGTCTTGCAAGTGTAATAGGTCTCCATTATACTGCAAAGACAAAATGTGTAACATCCGTGTGTCTACCTTTAAATTTCGGAACTTCAGAAGACATGTTAAGCTTCGGTTTGGTAGATTACAAAAAGGAAGAAAACCCTGGCTGGATGAGTGATGCCACAGAAAAACCTTAATAAAATGGCCCATCTGTGCTTTTCAACTTTATCAGTTCATCAGCTATGTGGATTTAAAAAAATGTGCTTGATACTTTTTCTGTCATTTCTGATGGAAAACAGGGGGGCTGCTTTTCTTGTCCTCCAGGATGTGTGCGCAATGTAATGAGCTGGTCTGCTGTGGGGAATGTAGGGCCATGTTGCTTTGCAACCCCAATTCCACTTTCATGCAATGTTAAAGTGGAGTAATTGAGCTGAAAGCAGTGGAGCTGTTTTAGCTCTACAAGGATATAAAGCAACATCAAATCGGCACTGTAATTTGAGAAGGAGCTCTGCATTTCAACAAAACATGGGCTTGGATTAGGGGAAAAGCACAAATAAAAGGCGGTGAGACAGATCACTGAGCAGGACCAAATCTATTTGTCACTCACAAATCACCTGAGCCTTTTGGGTTTATATAATGATGGATTTATACTCACCAACAGAAGTAGGTTAATGTCATTCAGAATAGTTAGGAATTTTCTGTGACTCTCTGTGCATAACAATGAACATTTCACATGTACACATGAAATTTTCCACCTGTCAGTTGTATCATAGAGGAATGACAACTTACAACTTGACTTTACAGCTACTGGAACTTTAGTCATGCAAATTTCCTTGGAGCACGTTATTAACTGAGATAAAAAGGGACAGTAACAGAGTTTTTATGCCTCTATTTTAGAAACAGCATGCCAAGCTCTTACTCTAACATATTTATTAGAGTCATTTAAGGATGAATATTTGCCAGCATAGCTCTTAGTTTAATCTGTATTTTACCACATTTGTCATCTAAAATATGTCGGAGATATTTCTACTTATATGTTCTGCAGTTTATTTTATGGGTTTTGGAAAACCAAATCTCACTTCTGTGCTTTTTTGCTTTGATGGAAGTGCTTTTAAAAAGCAGAAGCTCTTGTGTACTTCTGCCTGTTATGTGACTTTTCAAATAACTTTTCTTTATTTTAGAGGTGTAGTTAATTATCATTTGCACTGTAAAATTTGTTAGAGGATTAGAAATGTTGATGTTGTTCTGCTTTGACAGAAAAATAAACAAAAAGCACTTCTAGCATAAGCTAAGGAGGAATTTTTACCCTTGGAAATTAAAGTAAAATCTCTTTTTTCATAAAACACTACCAGTAAAAACACTTAAATCCTATATTATACAGAAAGTCGTATCAGATGAATACACTTTCCCTATTAAAACTGAAAATCATTACTTAATCCAGTGATATCCTGGTTTTCCCCATTATTGGTGCAAGATAAAGTGCCTTAGTGTTTGAATAAACTAAAATGAAATAAATTATATGAACTATTTATCTTTAATGTCTTTTTAGCCCAATGTATAAAAAGAAGAGAGACGTCCATATTTTTTGCCTTGCTACTTCAGTCAGGAAGATTGTTTTCTGCTTTGCGTTAATACAGCTGCAGAAGGCAAAAGCAGGCTAATTATTAAAACAGTCAATAGACAAGAGGCACTTTGCTATCTCTACTGCTCTAAATTTTTAACTCTAGATGTGTGAAATAAAAAGGACAAACCTCCAGTTTATAAACAGAATAATTTGCATTGGAACACACCTCTGGATACTGTGCGGTCCAACTCTTCTGAAAGCACTATTCAGCCTTCATGTTACAGTTACATGGGTATTCGAACATTACCACTTGCATTACTACAGGGAGAACTGCGAGAGTGTTGCAGAACAAAGATGAAGAGGAAAGCTAAACCAAGGCAAGCCAGTATGCTTCGCAAGGGACTTTCCATCCCATGTGAAAAAATGGAAGAGGGAAATAACTGCCTACAATCATAAATTAATGATGTATGTGCTGCAAAGGGCAGCAGAGAGTTTGCCCTGGGTAAAGATGCCATGCTCTTGTAAGGGTGGACTTCCAGGAAATAGTAATTTACTTTATTCTCAGACAAGTCCCATTGGAAGATACTTCTTGAGAGACGCAGGCAAGCAAAGCTTTCCTAGCTAGTCTTGCACCCTTCTCAGGTTCCCTATGCAGAAGTCAGTAGTGGGTGGTTTCCAACATATGATTTTTTTTTTGTCTTACTGCATTTTGCTTAGACTGTACGATACAGGCTGACCAGATCTTGCATTACCTGTGTTCTGAACACCATAAATCTATAAAGCCCCATAAAGCAGCTAACTGGACGAGCTGAAAGTCCCTGATCCTCTGTATGATGCTCAGAGTCATGCTAACACAATCACAGGGCCTTTTTTGCCTTTTTTTGTTACATCTTGGAAGGCGGATGGAGTGAGCTCATGTTGGTCGGTAAAATATAGTGCAAACATACCCATTGCCATACCCATAGGGTCCCCAGAGATCCTATGTCTGGGTTTCACCATTCTGGTGGCTGGCAGACACAGTGGATTCTTATGGTCCAGATAAACTGGAATCTTGAAACTTGGCAAGTGTGCCCATCATTAGCCACCAAGTGCAGAAATTAAAACTCCAAATTTCACTGCTCCATCTTGGAATAGTATGAAGTCACGGGTCAATCTTATTTCATGGAGCTTCATAAAAGGTGCTCTTAATATGTTTCAGGATAGCAATTTTTTTTTTTTTTCCCCAGGAATTGTTTTCTTCTTATGGTAGAGTTCAAGTCTCCAATTTAGGAAAATTAAGTTCACCTGCATCACTGTAGCCCAAAATTTTCCATACATTAGTCAGCATACACACACAGAGGTGGTAATGATAGAGCTGTACACATGCATAATCCCATGGAATGGTCAAATACATTCATCTGCTGCACCTAGTCACTGCCACTAATCCAACCACGTCTCCAGGACTCTTTATAATATTCCCATCCCATAAGAACCTCCAAACAACTGCAGAAATATTTTCTTCTTCTTTCATCAAACGCGAGGGACTTACCTCAGTATTACTATCTGTCTGAGGCCCAAGTAAAAAAATATTTCTATACAGATTGTGCATACTCCTTGTTATAAAATGTTTTAAACCTAGCAGTCTGACAAATTTTACAGCCTAGCTAGTAAGAGGGACCTTGTGAGGAGATTACGTTTGCTTCTGACCTATTTCAAGCTCCAAGTTATGAAGAGCCACTTTGGTAATTATGGTTACATTTATAAGGCATTATAGGCATTATTTATATATTCAATTTATTTTAAAATACAGGGCAAATTTAGCTCAGACACAAACAGTGAAGTCACACCTGCTCACAATAGGGTCAAAATTATACTGCTTGGTCTGCTGAACCACAAATTAACAATGAAAAGCCCAAAGCTTTTAAGAAAGAGGAATAGGTCAGTACTCACTCAAGTTGCTAGCAGGCACAGGAACAGACAGGTGCAAAACATAACTCAGTGCAGGTAGAAACAGTGATGCCAGCAACAACACAAAACTGTTGAAAATTGAAGAGCTCTGAAAAATTTATGAGAACCCTTCTGTCTCATTACCTCTGGGTTTGTAGCAAGGAGTGGATACAACGCATTCCTCTTTTATGTGTGGCTTTGTTTTAGGACTACAGCCTCCTGTATGCATTCCTCTGTGATCAAGGCAAAGGACTACACGGTATCTGAGTCCTTGTCCACAGGTCACAGTGCACTGTATTAAAAAAAAAAAAAGGTGTGCGTGATACATCATAGGAGTGAAAGGGGAATATGCAACAGAACTATGTGTACATCAGAGAGCAAGAAACAGGCTGCGGAAACACCCAAGCTTGAACATAAAGTATTCATAATATTTGGTAGTTATGGATATGGTATAAAAGTGACAGAAATTTTTACCTTTTTGCTCTGAACATTTACTTGATTTGGACATTTTGCCATTGGATTTCTCTTGCAGTGCCACTCCTGCAATGTTGCCTACGTGGCTTGTGGCCATCTGTCCCATATTAGATATGCTCAGTAACACGCCGTCAGTTTCATCTGGAGCCACTCTGCTTTGCTTGGACAAAGTATTGGGGCTTACAGATTAACAGGGTGACACTCAGGTTTTTTGGAACAAGGTGCTAACCAGAATGGAAAACTCTTGCACTTTCTTCTCACAGATACTTTCTTAAGCGTCACTTGTTTTTGCAACGGTTTTTCAATTTTTTCCCTCTGTACAGATTGTTTCAGAATTGGTTGCACTTGAGGGGATCAAAACTACTAACCAGTGGGGAGGGCTATGGATACCACCAATATTTCTTTGCTCTTGGATAGCAGCTTCCATGTAGAAATCAGCCAACACTTTGCAATCAGTCAAGAACACCTCATCTGTATGTGAGCTTAGCTTCTAAACACATGTACTTGTTGAGAAGCTACAATCAAGATACGTCTTCATGTACAGTCAAAGTACTTTATCACTTTTGTAGAAGGACATTTCAAAGACATTTACTTTCATACGGGAGGAAAGCCAAATCAGGAACAGAAAAGTGCAAGTGTCAAACTGCAGACTGATTTACAGTTTTACGTATTTCTGGAAATTTCTCAGCAATTAATGAATTTCAATTTATGTCCTAATGTTGTAATAAAGATATACCACTACATGATTACTGGGGGTTTTTTGTGCGTTTCATTTTTATACCCAGTCTATTATTAGCAGAAGGTCACAAATTAACATTAAAGAGCTGATTTATTTTCCCATCATTCTTCTTAATCTTAATACTCTTTTCCAGAGTGTTTACTTGGCAGTTAGTTAGACAAACAGCATAATTTAAAACGAAGGTGTTGGTAATAAGGAAAGAAAGCACTGGATGTTCCTACTTCCACAAATTCACTAAACTATAATTTCAGATATGTTCCTAGTGTGGTAAATACAAAACCAACAAAGCTAAATTGATTACCGGAGACCATTCCTGAGCAAGCCACTTTGGGCAGTCAAATATATTGCAAGGCTGGACAACAGGCATCTTTGGAGTATACATGCATTTCCATTCTTCCACAGGGCTGATATGCCCCTGAATGTCTTCTTCCACACATGAGATGCTACGGCTTTGAATGCCTCCTCCACAGGATGAGGAACAGGCAGTCCAGGGTGTACTTTCCCATCTGAGAAAACAGACAGGCATCAAGAAAAGTAACCGTTGCTGTTCCCACCCCCAACTGCACCCCAAAAATGCACAAATTGCTATCTGTAAGTGTATTTTCTTTTCTGATTAATGTCAGTAAAAATTAATCATATATCTATTTTCATATGATTCATATGAAATCATATGATTTCATGTCCATAGCATCAAAGAATGCTCATGGCTGGTGTCTTTAAGTCACAGAAAAGTAATATGGAATAGCCTCTCTCCCACTAACCCAATTACTACTACCACAGAAAATCTAAATACTTTTAACCTAATTTCTTTTTTTATTACTTGATGGAATTAAATTATCTTCACAATTTGTCATTTTCTGAGGAATCTTTGTCACAAATCACTGGAAACTCAGTGTGCTCTGAGGCTGATGTCTCCTTTGCAAGAAAATAAAGGGAAACAGCAGTGGTTTTTTCCAAGGAAGCAACTCAGCAGAGGAAAAAAGAAAAAAAATGGGAGGAAATTACTGAAAAGATCTAACTATACTGATAAGATATATGTCCTCTGATGCATAAACCAGAAGTACCTTGTTTCCTTGCAATTAAGGCAGTGAGAGGAACTGAGAAACCATCTTTTGTTTGTCTACAGGTGCCATCTGAGAGTGTAATGACAAATACAAAGAATAACATATATGTTCTGAAAGGCTATGCATACCTATGAGAATAATTATTTTTTTTTTTTAGTGATACATATACCATAATGTATGTATTCCTTTATATACGTACGTGTCTGTCCACATAATATAGTCTGGTATTGCCTCTCTTATATTCAAGCCATTGCCACAGATTGCCTGTGAGCCCATTCTCATGATCCAGTACAGCTATTCCTACATAATCCTGTGTATGCCTGATGGTACAGAAGTATCTATGTTCTACCTATCTGGAAACATTTCACAAAATCATTTTTTTTCCACAAAGGCAAGTGTCCTTTTGATAAGGATATTACAAATACTGTTTGAAGCAATTATTTTGGTCATAAGATTCCATTTTTTGACTTCAAAGAATAGTTTTTGTGGAAAATACCAAGCCTACTTTCTGCTTCAGGCAAGAAGTAAAAAAATGTGAAAGGTGAGGATTTTTTTCTCTCCCACTTAAAACAAAGGAAATATTTTTGTTAAGTAACAATTACAGAATCCCCAAGATTGTCAAGCAATATGAAAAATGTTTATTTTTCTCTCGGATTTTTCATCATATCAACCATATTCTTATCTTTTCCAGTAAGCTAGCACTACCTACACTTGGCTACTGGCTGAAAGTACCATAAAACTCATGGTGAAACGGTTTATACTAATAATCATTTATGAACGTTAAGACCACTGATTAACACTATGACTTACCAATAGGAGTGGTGAAACCATTTTTACACCATGCCACAGCCGTCATTTTGTGCTGATAAGTTACATATTTAAAGGATTTAAAGGAGAGCAATAAGGCTGGGAGAGTGGATGTAAAGGGATGGTTATGGGATGAAACCATAGTCCAGAACAGCTTTTGATCATTTTCAGGGAAGAATGTTGTTTTGTATTTTCTTTCAGTATTGCTGAAAGCCAAATACTGCAGGGCATTTTGATCCTTCATTTTTGGATTTTCTTCAGCAGCAAAAATGCCTCCGTCTAGCTGCCAGCTCAGAATGCTTTTTACCTAAATACAATCCCTACACTATTAAGTACTGCTGAATCATCCCCTGATATAAAATTATTCTCTGTCCCTTATCAGTGTTCAAGCCCTTTGTACACAATTGAAATAAACTTTGTTTAATTTAAAGCTAGAGTGTTAAAGCCTCCATATTCCTTACAAGCGGGTTTAACTTCTGAGGCTTGGCAGTATGCATGTGGGTGGTTTTTTTTAAATAAAGAACAGAGAAAAGTGTTTCCCAGAAAACAGGAATTAGATGCAGAGATATATTTCATAAGTGTATCTCACAAATATCTGGGGATACTGACTATGTGTACATAAGCACTTAGCTAGGAAGAGAAAAGCCTGATCCTAATGGCACGGATAACTGATAAATGATGTGAACATGAATGGCCGTCACAACACTTGTCTAGTTAGTTGCTCTGCACTGCACTGCATTTGCACAGTGACGCTGAAAGCTCTCTGTATTAGGTCATGACACTGTTTGAAGGAGGTCTTTTCCTCACCAGGATGAGACTAGCAGTTTCCTACAGGGTTCTTCTTTCTGTGATCTCATAATCCATGACACAATAAATCAATGAAGAAGGAAACAGCACAATACTATTGCATGTCCAGATGGTATTTCAAAACCTAAAGGTTATTATCATTCAACTATCAAACATTTTTATCATCAGGAGTCTTATTCACAGTTTTAAGAATAATTACCTCAAAATCTAACAATTTACAAGCATTCAAGAAGCAGCACTATGGGGGGGAAGAGAGGGAAAGTCCTTTGGTTAATTACAAAGCAACAGGTTATAGTCCTGTTCAGAGAGAAGTAAAGGAAAAAAAGGAAAAGTGCAAGAGAAAAGTGGAGGTGGGGGCTGAGGAAAGAGAGAAAGAAAGGGACCACATACTTAGTAAGTCTGCATTTTTGCTTCAGCTAGAATACAATTTCAGTTCGGCACTGACAGAATTTATTACTACAGGTTAGCACTTGAACATCTCTAGGTTAATCTGTAGGAATTCAGAGCAAGAGAAAAGCAGCATCTTTTAACTTAGTTTGAGAGCAAAGGAGAATTATAGAGAAGAGAAAAAGAAGAAGAAAATGTATTTGTTAAGCCTAGAACCGACTGACTGTTTTACGTACCGAGGAAGGGGATGGTAGAGGTCATAGGGCATGATCTGCTTGTATCCATCACTGTTAGGAACAATAATGCCAACCCTCTGAGTAGAAGGTACACATAATAAAATAAACACTAAATGATTACGTTATACAACTTTTTATATTACAATATTGTATTACCTTTTACAACTTTTTGTATTAGAGTATTACAAACCAGTCAAACAAGATATTTTACCTAAGTTGTCACTTAAACCAAAACTTATGCTGCCATCCTATTGTTTCTGAGTTGTTAAAAAAATGATTACTACTTCATTGTTATAAATATATTACTGTTTGACAAAGAAGAAATCCATTGCCACAAGTGATCCAAATATTATTTAAATTTATTGTGTTGTTACCTAGCATAAAAACAACGTTTCTATGCGTAATACTTATGCTTAATAAGGGAACTTATCTGTGCTTCCGAGAGCTCTAGATCAAATCCCTTTTAAAACTATTATATGGTTGTTTCTGCCCTTCACATAAAACTTCTGCTTTAATAGGAGCCAAGATTAGAAATTCGGGGAATCACTGTGCAAGAATTCAAATCTGCAATTCTTGTTTCCTCATCTTAAATTAGACCAGATCTGCCTCTTCATTTGCCTTTTTTTTTCTGGAAGAAATGAGGAGCTTGAGAGAAGATTAACATCTCAGACTGGGTTTTTTGTTTCTTTGTTTTTTGTGGTGTTGTGACTGATTGGCTTGCTTTGCTGTAGTGTTATTGGTATGATATCTAAATAATATAACATCTAAAGGTTATAAAAAGCAATAGTATAGATCAAAATTAGCAATAATCTGAAACATCATCATGCCAGTTATGTGTGAGAAGGATGTGACTTGTCTTGTTGGCAGCTACAGGGTCTCACTGAATTACTAGTCCGGAATTTCATATTTTATCCACACTTTTTGTAAATTCTGACTCAGAATAATTCTAACCATTATTCTCCCAATTTAGGCATATCTATTAACATCAAACAGATGATCTCAGAGCACTTCAATCATCATCATTTTCATCAAAGCCACCTGGGGATTTGGATAGGGCAGGTGGGTGGAACCATTGAAGAGTGAATACCAATTGCACTGAAATAAAAAGTGTGTCCCTAACCAAGTTATGGAGAGATGAAACTGGATGACAAGAAAAAAGGTGGGTTTTGGGAGTCCTTTACAGATGAGAGGATGGTGCTATGAATTTCTGCAAGGGGGAAGGAGCAAAGAAGGGGAAAGGGAGAAAGTATTCTCCATCCTCAACACAGTTCACTAAAATATGCTGTAAGCATTTAAAGAAGTTTTGTCAGGCTAAGGCTGAAGGGGTCTCTTCTCCTCTCAGTCAATAGGGGGTTTATGTGCATAACTTGTCCTGGACAGAAGAATTAATCCCATTGTGTTTTCACAGCAAGGAGTCAGCACCAGGTCAGTGCACTGGAATTTTCCAGCTGAAGAACAAGAAGGAGCTGGAGACCTGGAAATGCGTGATGGGGACTAGATAGTTCCTTCTAAGAGTAGCAGCCTCTGCAGTCAAAGGAACCCTCTGCACGAGTGTGCATATTTGCATCTTTGGAGAGCTGCTTGTCCCCACAAAAATCCCAAAAGCTAGAAGAGGTAGTTCTGGCACTGGGAAACTTTGGACAAGACAAATGGGTCATTTAGACAATGGTCAGGAAAGAAGTCTTTTCAGACTTAGCTTCATGGGTAAATGCTTGAAGAATTTAAGAAGAATTGCATATTTTAAGAAGATGGAAAGGAACTTTTTCTGAGATTTTTTTTGTCCATGCTTTTGGAAATCTGCTGTTTTCCTGACTCTTTCAGCAGTGCTGTGAAGTTCCACTCTGAAGCCTTTGCACTTTCCAGCTCATCAGCTTGCTGAAAAGCAGTTGGAAAAAAAATATTTATGTACCAAGTTCAAAATGAAATAATTACACTATAAAAGCATCTACTGTCTAAGAAAGAAACAGATTTCAAAATATTTCTCACTCATTGCAGTGAAAAATTCTTTCTAACAAACATGATCTGTATGCATAATCCAGGTCTACATGTTTTAGAATGCATAATTCCCAAGACCATTCAGATGGAAATAACCATACTACATAAAAACACTGTTATGAATATGAAATAACATGTTTAAACCACTAGATTAATATTTTCATTGGAAAGGTTTGACCCTCAAAGAATTCTGCATACATAAACTGCACTTCCGTAAACAGTATTGAGCTCCACAGAATTAGTGACACTATCCTTGTGCGTATGTGAGGGTCTGCCAAAAGCTCTCATTCTGTAACTACAAGACAGCAATGTAATCACAAGACCCCCACAATAATACACAATAGCTTAATTTATGAGTTTTCAAAAAAACTAGCTTAAAGATACGACAGAAGAACAGGTGGTCATTGTATCATTAATGACAACTGCATCTTTTCTAGTTAGTCTAGTGTGGGGTTTTTGTATGTGTTCCAGAAAAAACCCTCAAGACTAAATGAACACATTAAAAAAAATCTTAGAGATTACTTTAGTGAATCATTACTTTTTGACTGGACAAAGTGATCTAAATTCCATGAATCTACCATCATACTCCTATAAAAAAGATGGAAGAGATCTACTTTATGGGCTTTGTTTGCTGTATGTTACTGAGCCAATGCAAAGCAGATGGTGTGCTAAATGAACAGAGGAAATTACAATTCCTTTGCTGAAATATGTGCAAGTAGCTAATAGGACTCATTCACAAAATACTTAGAGCTTTGGCAGGAGCAGAAGTACAAAGCAAATTATTTTGTTGAGCTGCTGTGTCTCATATGTCTGAAATCTCCCATGCCTTTCAGACCAAAAAGTTCTGTCATATAGCATGCAGATTGCTTTGTTTTTCTCCTGCGTGCTGGCAGCCTCAGCACAGTTGCCCTTCAAGAGACATGTATGGCTGGAGCAGGAGCTGCACATGCCAGAGGTGGGAGTGCTGCAACCAGGTCTGCCACCTCTGCAAGCATTCTGCTTTCCCCTGGGATGACTGTCTGCAGCTGCATTTCTTGAAAGTCATGTTTGATGTCCTCTTCCCCAATTGCTCCTTTTTCTCCTTCAGCTACCCCCATAAGCACAGGTGACAAGTGTGAATGCCTTTCTCCTGTACCTCCCTAATGACTCCCTCTCTCTGACAAGGTGCCAGCCCTTCCCACCTTCCCCTCCTTCATCCTGGCAAGTCTCAGGTTGGACACCTGTCGAGCCAAGTAGGGGAATGGGTGCTAGAACTGGGAGAGGAGCCAGCAGAGAGAAAGGACATCTACCCCCAAGATGCCTCAGAGTGGTGTGACCCTGCACGAAGACGATGTGCCGAGGACAGGAGTGGGTAGGGGCACCTGCTGCTGGTTTGCTGGTGTCCTGCACCCTGCTGTGCCAGTGCCCAGCCTCTGCAGGATGCTCACATGCCTTTGACTCACAGCCTTCACTTCTGCTGAGGTCTCTATTTCCCGGGGGTGTACTACTCATAAGGCTACGGCTGCACAGCTTCCCGTGCTCCCAGGTGGCTGGAGCTATTACACCTCTTTCCTAATGGGGACTCACAGAGCCCAGACTTAAGCCTTCACTGAAATCTGTCAGATTTGAGAGTAAATGATCTGCATGGCAGGGAGTGTGCCATCTAAGCAATGGTCTGGATTATGTTAAAGATATTATTAGTAATGAGCACATAATAATAAAAAGTTGAAGTAGCTTAAGTTGGCTGTGGACAGCTAATTCATTAAGTGAAAGGAAACACTGGGAAGACATGAAAAAGTTCACCATAGAAGTAAACAGTTCAGCATCCGAGCCAGCATATTCATGAGAGCTATGATTATCACTGGACAGATGACAGGCTTGAGAAAAAGATTCCACTTTAATACTACAAATCCTGACACTAAGGTGGGTACTTAGGTGCTCTCTGAAGATGCCACATTGTGGCATTATCTCCCTGTGCTACAAGAACACTTTCTGTGTTGAGAAACAGTTACTGAGGTCCTCAAAGAGATGGTATCCCTTAATGCTTCCCATGTGGTATTCTGTAAAACTACTACTACTTCCCTTCAGAGCTGGGGTAGGTGACATCTACAGTAACATCACAGGTACAGGCAACATTGGTTTCTGAATGCCTATTTTTGCACTGAGTATAATTCCCAGTTGCAATACCAGTATGAGTTACATATCTGGAGCACCATGCTTAGTCCTGATATATAGGTAGTATTCTGATCATTTTATCAGGTTATCAATGTGAATCTTGAAGAACTACCACATACTTTGTATTTAAATATTCTTTCATATGGTCTTAGTACTTTACAGATTGGTAAAAGCCAATGTCCCTACCTAAACATTTAAGTAGATACTTAAAAAACCCTACTTAATTGAAAAGGACTGCTGAGAAAGCTGTCCTTTGGTGTCAGCCTCCAGAAAAACCTCTCGCTTTAAACAGCACATCTTTTCAGTACAATAGTATCTTACCTTTATAAAAAATGACTTGTTCAAGGTGCAGAGATTTCAAGTTCTAAGCAACACATGATTTAATTATCATTGCCACAGACTGCTAAAAACTGATCTCTTCACAGTGCCTGAAATAGGTGTTATCATTTGCAATTTGGCATTCTGTGAGGATGATTCCAAAAAGCCAATTCCTCTCTGTTACAGCATGTACCCTGGGATGGCATAGCTGTATTTCTAAATGACTCTCTGTCCCCTCAGGGTCTTTATATCAACAATTTTGCCTTGGTGTGTCTTATATAAAACAAAAATTGCTTTCTGACATCTGCCAGTTGTTATTTTTCTTCTCTCTTTCCTCCCGTGCACTGTGCAGTCATCTGTCTTACCATTTGAGAATATGTCAATTAAAATCATTGGGAAAAGTATGAAAAATATCCATAAATTCCAAAAGGCAAATTACAAAAATATTTGACACAGAACTGTATTTTTTTTTTAAAGTAGCTTAGAATTAAAAAGTAAATAAATAAATAAAGCAACTACATAAAATTACTTTCTCACTGGTACTGTGACAGGTAAATCTAACCATCTTAAGAACCACCTGGATGTAATCCTGTGTAATGTGCTCTAGGATGATCCTGCTTGAACAGGGAGATCAGACCAGATGACCCACTGTGATCCCTTCCAACTTTACCCACTCTGTGACTCTGTGGGGTAGCAGGGAGGAGACTTTTGTGCAGGGCAAAAGAATACTGATATTTAGAAAAAAATTACTTATTACATTCTTACAAGCTGCCATAACTGCAACTAAGCTTTTTATTAAGGAGGATGTTTAAAAAAAAACACATAAAAATAATTCCTCTAATTGTGATGACAGTAATTTTCCAACAACATTTTTACTGAAGAAGAGCTTTTCCCATCTTACTAACACTTAAGAGACATGCTGATCATGGGGATGGAATCATGGACCATTTGTTTTCTTGTCCTTTGTAATGATTAATGAGGCAAAATGCATTTTGAAGGGAAGAAACAACCATTTCAAATCAGTCCTTGCAATGGTGAAGGAGCTAAACAGAGATGTTCTTCTACACAGTGCATTTTCAGATGAGAAAGAGGTTGCATTATATAGGATAAATGCCATTGTGTGCAACAGCAACAGAATATTTTCCTACTTTTACTCCTTTAGACCTCAGCCTCTTTTAAAATTCAAGCTGACTGACCTTGCAGGACAAGGATCCAGATTACACTCTTGAAGTTTTGGCTTTGGCTTGACATTTTCAGGAAAATAGTGGCAGTATTGATCTGCCACTACCCGTCTGCTTCTCAGATCAAAACATTCAGCAGATGTCAGTTGATAACCTGCAATACACAGTGGAATAAATAATATGAGATGTGGTGCTCTTCCTGTCTCTCTCTGAAATGCATCCAAGTTCTGATTTGGTAAAAAGCAAACTAATTTCAGTTTGGTTCAGTGCTTTTGCACGTAACAGCTGTTGATTTACAGACCAGATTGAAAACAGCAATGTAAATCACATGTAGTAGGAAACAAAAAGATAACCAGTATGGTTAAACAAAAATTCCGAAGTCTAGAACAAAAAAAGAAAAATCAAAGGCTGAGGTTTCTTGATCATCAACAGTTGTGCCCTCAGTTTCAATATAGACAGGGAACAAATGGAGACATCTTGTGATTCCAAAGCAGGCCCAAATCCCATCAGCCCTTATGTTTGACAGCTGTAGCATTAAATGCAGACGTGGATATCAAGATGTACTTTATGTATGGAGTGTGCACAATGCTAAAAAACTACAACCTACTACCACGTTGCTAAATCACTTCCTTAATTTAGTTGTAACTATTTTCATTTTCAGATTTTGCCCATTTTAAAGATCCAAAACCAAGGGCAGCACCTGGGACAGGTCCTGTATGCAAATGACTTTTTGGATTACAGTGGTAATTCATTACCTCCTCCACAGGATGCCGAACAAGGAAAAAAATCAGTTTCCCTCCATCGGTGAATGATAGGCTGATAGAAGATGAACTGAACTGAACTGTCAGCAGCACCAGCATAACGAATCTGAAAAAGAGGTAACATCAGAGTGAAACTGATGTAAATGCTGGGAAGAAGTATTCTGCCACATGCATCTTGAAGGTATGAGACATCTTGCAGCTACATGAAATACCAGATACACTTTGCAATAGGAAAATGAAATACACAAAACGAATCACAGATTGGTAGCAAAATCTTTATTGGAAAACACAGTCAAATAAATTTCTGGGCATAATCAGTCACTATTATTGAGACCATGTTCTGAAAGAGTGAGTGCAAATGCATGGTTAGTGCTCTTGAATAATTTTACAGAGACAAAGGATATGGAATGATCTTTACTTCATCAGAAAATTACCTACCATTATCTGCTGTCCCTGACACATGGACTTGGATTTTAGATCTCTAATATTTCCCAAGAAACATCTGAAGACTAGGTATAATATATTGACAGTACAGAGTAAAAAATGGGAGGCTGTGCTGTGAGACACATAAATAATATAAAAATTTTAATTCTAGACTTTTTTTTCATGAAGTAAAGGTTTTTTCATTTTCTTTGTGGTACTGTCATTATTATAAGTCCGTCCTGCTTACTTTATTTTGCTTGTAAAAATGCTTCTTTCAGTCATAGGTGTGGACTCCCAGCTGGAGCTAAGAGCACATTTGGAAAGACATCTTCAGAACCTACAAGTACTGCCAACTTTTAAGCCACCTGAGCTTAAGAGCTAGTATGCCTCTGGTACTATGTGTGCTGAATGGATTTCCTACATAAACAAGAGTCTGTAGTACCAGGAGTGCAATAAGACCTTCACACTGCTAAAGTAGCACCACTTGCACCTGGCCCAGTAAAAAATCCTTCCTATTTGGTATCTGTACAGTTATGAAAGCTTCAAAATCTCTGCAGGATTTCACTTGTCCTTTTATCTAAGGCAGCTGACAAGGGAAGAACAAAAAGCCTCTCCTAGTTGGTTATTTGTCACAGAACATTGTGTCTCAGTGTTGCTTGAGCATCTCTGCATCACTGACATGATGCTATGACAGTAGAGAAAACTGCCAAATCACAACTAAAAAAGATGGACCCTTCTCCAAGACAGTACCGGTACTCTCAGGTGCAATCCCCCTTGTTCTTTTTATCAGACAGCTTAAAGTATTTTGCTGCTGCCTCCTTTTTTTTTTTTTTCTCTCATGTTTTGAACAAGTTTCTCAGTTTTGGAAACACCATTTTTCAAACTGACTTTTCTTTTCTCTCTTTCCAAACACCAAGAGACACTGCCAAAGAGTGGTCTGTGAAACAGAAGCAAAAATATGACACATTGAGATGAACTGTGAAATTTGGGTTTGTTTTGTTTTCCCTGTACATGGACAGAAACATGATTACAAATCAAAGTATATCTTGAAGAGCAGGAGGAGGGCAAAAATGTTTATGGGTGTTAAGAAGTCTGGTCTACTGAGACTAAGGCTGCCCTTTTCTAATTAAGCAGTAATGTAAATTCCCAAAAGGAAAAAAAAAAAGCAGCTGTAGCAATACTACTGCTTCAGCAAATGGAAGGCCTTTTGCACAGATTAATATTATTTGAGTCTGTGTGTCAGAAATAGGATATCTAATTCCTTGTGAGAGGATGCTGCTTTAACTACGCACTTCAGATGGGTCTTTCTCAGCTCATGAAGCCTGAAGCACTCCCGAGAAAATTCTTCTGTTGTGCTGGAAGCCATTTAGGGAGGTCTCTGATGTGAGTGTGCAGAAGAGGCATTCACTGAAGAGAATTCTGCTTTTACTCTGTTTTCTAAGGATCACCAGTGATTCCTAAACTCAGAAGATCTACTCAGCAGTACAGTCTGCAGTGAATCATCATGCACAAACCAAGAGCTCACACAGAGCCTACTATAAAAGGAAGGGAAGAAAAAAGACTTTGCATTAAAAAAAAAATCAGGAAGAAAGAAGAGTTCCTCTCTCTGCAGACTATTCCTGCATGTCTGCAGTTATCTGTTTGTTCTGACACAGAGAAAAGACAGATATACATCTTCTCCAGCCTAACGTGGGAGTCACTCATAGAGCCACGATAACAACACAGATGGGAAAGTATCACAGTGAACCCCAGCCATAAGCAAAAATGATACAAAATAAGCAAATGAAAGAAGCAGACACAGTATTGTTTTGGTTTTTTCTAAGGAGTACTATAAGCAGAAGAGGAACAATATATGGTGATTCAACACAGCAAAACATTATTTTTGATTTTGTTTGACAGTTTGTCAAAGCTAAGATCTTTATACAGGAGAAAACATCAGTGACTTCTTGAGCCCTGCAAAACTCAGGGCGAGACTTAATAGCTAAATGCTGTAAGAAATGTCCTGATTTGGCTGCACAGGGCCAAATCCCTCAGCTAGTATGAGGAATTTTTTACCCTTGCAGTATTAGAAACATCCAGCTAGTGAGAAAAGTTGAAGCTTCAAAAAGAGATGGTCATCACTTAAAAATCTTTAGTTAGCCTTTTAAGTAACAGTTAGTTTTGCATCCTTAGGTTACTGAGCCAGAAAAAAATGGCAACTGATTATTGTATTCCCAAATAAAATCCTATCTAAATTTATTAATAGCAGAAGGCAGAAGTATTCAGATCTTGCAGAGCACTCAGCCCTGCATTTGTGCATTGCACCAACAGATCATCCTTGACTTCCTCTAGGTTTCAAGGGAATTTGGAGCATTCCTAACAAGACAGCAGCCCTTGTCAATTAATGAGAGCCAAGAGGTCACATAAGTCATATAAGTCAGTCATATAATGAGCAGGTTAAATCTAGAGACCTCAGAATACCCACTGTCTAGCCTACAGTCACTCTCAACAGAGATATTTTTTTCTTGTAGAAAGACCTTGGAAAAAAAGAATCTTTTAAATTGATTTTGTAAATGACTGTCTGGGATGGTGCAAGAGAGGTACAAGCTGTTGCCCAGGTGAAGTTTAGAGTTGATAAACTTTGGTTTGAGGGATATCCACAGAAAGCTGCACAAAAACAAGATAAAAATTTGAACACAAAATATGTGTAATCTTTAAGAGTTATTTTGATTGTTCTAATCTGTCCTGTGAACAAGAGACTGCAAGAAGTGATCTCACCTTTGCATTTTGTAGTTTTTCTTATAGCTCCAAAACTCTGTTCACTGAAGAACACATAGACTGCCCTACAAAACTACAGTACGTTTATTTGGACAGTTTTGAAATTTAATCAGCAGTTTATAACCAGCAGTCATAACCAGCAGTAATTATCAATGTTATTTGTACAACTAAGCTATGAAAAGTGTATTCAATAAGATGTTTTCATTTTATGCAGTTGTTGGCAGGGGGGAGGAGGAAAGACACCATTTCTCTCTTTTGTGTGTTTGTGTGTGTGTCTCAAACTGGGGACTCAGAAAGGGAATTATTATTTCATACCACAGATTCATAGAATCATTAATTTTGAAAAGACCTCTAAGATCATGGAGTCCAACCTTTGACCAAACACCACCATGTCAATTAGACCATGCATTAAGTGCAACATCCAGTTGTTTCTGGAACCCTTCTAGGAATGGCTTCTCCACTACCACCTTGGGCAGCCCACTCCAATGCTTAACTACCCTTTCAGTGAAGAAGTTCTGTATGTCCTTATGTCCTCGGACATAAGGCCTGAACCTCCCTGGTGCACCTTGAGGCCATTTCCTTGTGTCCTCTCACGGGTTACGTAGAAGAAGAGGTCGATTCCCACCTCACTACAACCTCCTTTCAGATAGTTGTAGAGAGTGACAAGGTCTCTCCTGAACCTCCTCGTCTCCAGACTAAACAACCTCAGCTAGTCCTCATATGACCTACTCTCTAGACCCTTCACCAGCTTTGTTGCCCTTCTCTGGACGCACTTCAGCCACTTTTGTCTTACACAATTTTATCTGGTATACTATGATCCATGCTACCATGCCTATTATAAAAGTTCTAACGGATTTTTCCACATTACTATTACAGATGCTTTCTGCAAGTTCCAAATCCCAAATCACCAGGTTGATATTAATGAGAAACTAAATACTGAAGTCATCCAAGTAGCATACAAAGAAACTGGAATGAGGGTGTGGAGAACTAACCTTGTCCAGCATATGCAATCTTTTGTCTTTCATGTCAGTAAAAAAAAGTTCATTTGTTTACCTAGAGTGCTTCAATACTGCTGTTCATATCTAGTGATACTTTATACTGAAAAAGAAATAAGATGCACAGGAGATTTGTTGCTATTAATAGTTTGCCCATGAAGCAGAAATAGGAACCAGACACTGTCACAGGAAAATAGCTTTACAAGCTTGTTTAAAATAACATAAGAAGTGCAAGAAATGTAAATACTGAGAGATGCAAAAGCTTTCAAGCATATGGTCTAAGGCAGGAACACATCACAACTCCTGAGTTTGCCCTTTAATACCCTTGGAATGCTGAAAGGAGTTCTGCCTTTGATCTCTGGGGAAACGTCTACTGTCCAATTCTGCATTCTTGTCCCCATCCCGTGTTGTATCAGCTTGGGTTGTCTTTCTTACATCTTATCTATTGCTTCACAATTTAGCTTCTCAGCCAACGAGAGAAATCACTGTGAAATTACATTATCACTGATTTGCATACTTTACAAAGCATCTCTGAATTGAACTTGCTCACCATGCCCCAATATTGGATTAAACACTGTTCCTTTAGGTGATGAGGATTTAGATTAAGTCTTTAGATTAAGTCTGTCACAAAGCCAAAATAAAAAGTCCAAATCTTTTATCAAAGGAAGAACAAAAGAGAAAATCAGTGCAATGGACTGGCTAGGATAGCTGGCAGCAATGGAGCCTGCATTATTAGCTATAACAGTTAGTAATCTGTACAGAATCCACTATTAAGTGCAACAAATGTAGAAGTTTCTTAAAGGAGAAGACAAAAGTCATTCCACCAAAGGCAACCCAAATACACCAAAATCAGACCTGCTGCATCTCTGCTGTGGATACCACCCATAACATCCCAGTCATCTAGGGAAAGACCATTTCAACACCATCAACA